ATAGGAAGACAGTAGAACTATAAAAAGATGAGGTAATCTCCCCCCCGGCCTTGGGGTTAGGGTTTACAGCATCGTGGGGAGGAGATTGGGGCAAAGGCAAAAGACTGGCGTTTTTTTAGGCGTCAGTGAATGGGCGGCACAGACGAGGGCAGTCACTGGGAGGCGGATTCCCCATGACTGACCGTCTGCTGCCCGTCCCCTTCACTGACGCCCATAAAAAACGCCAGTTTCTTTCCTTTGCCCAGACTCCCCCACCACATGTGTGAACACTAAATCCAAGGCCGAGGGATGATTACCCCATCTTTTGTAATTTTTCTACTGTTTTTCCCATTATGCCAGAATCGTATTGAAAAGCCCTGGGGGGGGGGGGAAACGTCTACTACAAAAAAGATACCCGATGTTGCACATTGTCTTTAACTTTCAAAAGTCGGTTTTTTTACCTTTCTTTGCACAACTTTTCGACACTGCAACATCATGAATCTTGGTTCAGAGGGCATCTACAAGACCTTCTTTAGGCTGCTGCAACTAACCCATCTCTTTGGGAAGGACCACTTTCCCCGGAATCCGCCTACCAGTGTGACCCCGTCTCTCCCGTCCCCTTCACGACCCTATAAAAAGCGCCAGTCTTCTTGCCTTTGCTCCAAACTCCCCCACCCCGATGCTGTGAACCAACTCCAAAGGGCCCAGGGACTGTTTCCTCACTTTTGTATATAGTCTACTGTCTTCCTTTTATTCCTAGAATCGTATTTAAAAGCCACTGGTGGCGAAACGTCTACTACAATAAAGAAACCCCGATGTTGCACATGTGTCTTAACTTTTATATTGTGGTATTTATACCTTTCTTTGCACAAATTGTCGACCTGCAAATCAGGAATCTTGGTTCAGAGGACACTCAAAACCCTTTTTCACGGTGCTGCAACTAACCCCTCTCTTTGGGAAGACCTCTTCCATGGGGAAACCCGCCCCCAGGACGACCCCGTCTGCTGCCCGTCCCATTCACTGACCCTAAAAAAGCGCCATCTTCTTGCCTTTGCTCCAGCTCTCCTCCACCACGATGCTGTAACACTAACTCCAAAGGCGGGGACTGATTCCCATCTTTTGTATATATTTTACTTTTCCTATTATGTCCAGAATCTGTATTGATAAAGGCACTGGATGGCGAAACGTCTACTACAATAAAGTATCCCAAATTTTCACATGTTCTTAACTTTTATATTGTCGGTTTTTATACCTTCTTTGCACAACTTGTCAGACCTGCAAAATCGGGGAAACTTGGGTTTAGAGGACAAACACAAAACCTTTTTAGGTCTGCAACTAAAACCATCTCTTTGGGGAAAACTACTTCCACTGGGGAATCCCCCCACCAGGATGACCTCGTCTGCTGCCCTCCCATTTACTGACCCTAAAAAAGCGCCAGCTTCTTTCCTTTGCTCCAAACCCCCTCCACCACGTGCTGTGAACACTAAAACCCAAGGCCGGGGAGATTACCCCTCTTTTGTATTTGTTCTACTGTCTTTTCCCATTTTGCCTAAAAATGTATTATAAAGCCACTGGGGTGGCGAAACGCTACTACAATAAAATATCCGATTTGCACATGTGTTTAAAATTTCAATTGTCGTATTTTATACCTTTCTTTTCACAACTTTTCAACACTGCAACACAGGAAAATTTTGGGTTTAGAGGAAATTACAAAACCTTTTTCACGGTGCTGAACAACCCATCTCTTTGGGGAAGGGCCTACTTTACTGGGGAAACCCCCCTACCAGTGACTTACCCCCGGCTGCCCGTCCCATTCAGACGCCTATAAAAAGCGCCATTTTTTGCCTTTGCTCCCGACTTCCTCCACCACGAGCTGTGAACACTAAATCCAAGGCCCAGGGGCTGATTACCTCATCTTTTGTATAAGTTCTACTGTCTTCCTATTATGTCCGAATCTGATTGATAAAGCCACTGGATGGGGAAACTCTACTACAATAAAAATATCCAGATGTTGCACAGTGTCTTTCTTTCATATTTTCGGGATTTTATACCTTTCTTTGACAACTTGTCAACACTCAACATCATGGGTCTTTGGGCAGAGGACTCCAAAAAACCTTTTTCACGGCTCTGCAACTAACCATCTCTTTGGGGAAGGGCCCACTTCCACTGGGGGAAACCCGCCTACCGTGACTGACCTGTTCGCCCGTCCCTTATGACCCTATAAAAAGCGCCCGTCTTCTTGCCTTTTGCTCCAGACTTCCTCCACCACGTGCTGTGAACATAACTCCAAGGCCGAGGGGTGTTCCTCACTTTTGTATATGTTCTACTGTTTCCTATTTTCCTAGAATCTGTATTGTAAAGCCCCTGGGTGGCAAACGTCTACACAAAAAGATATCCAGATTTTTCACATGTGCTTAATTTTCATATTTTGGTTTTTATACCTTTCTTTGCACAAACCCCAAGATTATTAATTTGTTTTCCCCACGGCAAAAAACCCAAATCAAGGAGGTTATTTCCCCTAGTTGGCTCTGCACAAACTGTTTTAAAAAACAATCCTGGATCGTATCAAGAAAGTCACCCTCTAAATTTCCCGTCAAATTGGGCCATCAATCGTCTATATTGAAATCCCCATTAGCACAACATTTTGTATGTAATGCCTTACGAATTTTTGTCCCCTAGAAGTTTACTGCACTCCCTATCAAGATTTGGGGCCCCGTAAATTCCCCCCAAAATTGTTTTTCTCGGCCCCCGAGAAAACTGTAAAAAAAACAGATCAGGGGTGACCCTTTTAATTTTAAAATCTTGTCTAACACAACATTTAAATTGTCTTTGACAAACATCGCTACCCACCACCTTTCCCGTTGACCCTGTCAGTGTGGAATAATTTATAGCCTTGTATGTGACATTCAGAGGGCATCTCTCTATCTTTCAGATTGAGCCAGGTCTCTGTTATAGCAATAATATCTATGTTTCCTGCACTTGCAATTAATCTTAGCTCATCTATCTTATTTCTTACACTCCTGCTATTAGTATAGTAAACCTTAAGGGAGCTAGTCCCTTGCTGCCCTCTGCTGTCCCCCTTTGTTTGCTGACCTGATCTATTGTTTTTATTTATAACTTCATGCTGAATGCCTTTTATACATTTACTGTTTCCAACCCTAGTGTTGCAACCTGCTTGTTTCCCACACACACCCATACCTCTATCTTCCATCAGTTTAAAATCATAGGCATTTCACCAATGGCCTTCTCAATCGAGTCTGCAAGTGGTACCACCCCAGCCCCAGAGAGATGTACCCCATCCCTTGCATACATATCATGTTTGCCATAAAAGTTGTTCCAGTTGTCAATGAATGGGATTGCAAGTTCCTTGCAGTATCTGTCTAGCCAGCAATTTACACCAATTTCCCTAGACAACCATTCATTTCCTACTCCCCTTCTAGGCAAGATGCTACATATGATTGGGATCCCTCCCTTAGACTTAATGAAATCTATAGCTGACCTGTACTTATCTAGCAGCTCTTCTCTCCTACCCTCCCCAATATCATTTCCACCAGCACTGAGACAGATAATGGGCTTGTTCCCATTACCTGACATGATATTATCCAGCCTGTTGACAATGTCCCCAACACCAGCTCCAGGGAAGCACACTCTATCTCTCATCTTATTCCTATTACAAAAAGCACGGTCAATATATCTTACCTGAGAGTCACCAACCACAAGAATGCGCTTACCTCCATTAGCAGGGGCAGTAGTACCCTTACCTTCACTGGCCACTGAAGTACATTCATCCTGAAGAACAGAGAAGCGATTTCCTACCTTCAGATCTTCACTCTTAACTTTCCTTACTCTGATGCACCTCCCATTACTGTGAACCACTCGCCACTTGTAGCAGGTGCTGGGCTGCACCTCACTGCTGGTAGCCGTTGCTACCTCCCCAACTACAGCCTCCTCACAGCGAGAGGAGTTTGAGGTAATCAGTCCCTCAGCCTGGAGTCGATGTGTTCAGTCCATCAGTCTTGTAGACTGATGGACTAAACACATCGACTCAGGCTGAGGGACTGACTACCTCAAACTCCTCTCATACATTCATGTTTTGTATAAGACTGATGAAGCCACTGTGTGGCGAAACGTTTCTTCAATAAAGATTCCCATATGTTACCTGTCTCAATTCTTCAACTTGTCGGTTTTCAAAATCATTCATCGCACCCATATTTGCTGCTGGATAAGTAAGGTTAGATTACGTTAGTAAGATTAGGTTGCATGAAGCAATGCCCATGACAAAACCCACCTAATATTGGACATTTTTAGGAATAAATCAACAGCAAACTCGCACGTGGACCAAGACTGCCATAATTACCTAATAATTTTTCATAAAAAGCACAAGTGATATAGATTTTGCGAGAAGCCCCATAGCATTTTGGGCAGTAGTTACTATACTCCCCTGACATCGCTGAATGCGACCTGCCATTGCTCACCCAAATAAATCTAAATATTGTTTTTATATTCGTCCAGCAATATGAAAATAATTACAGATATTACGTAAAATAAAGACACTGTCGTTGCCAATACAGAAAAATAGTGTTTAAACTACCCAAGCTGGCTGCACGTACAGCCTCTCGGCTGCCAGTAACCCAGCTGACACCACCTCTACTTACACTTTCACCTTAATATCTTATCTATATTATAACAAGTAACCGTCTTTTCACTTCTCGATGTACTGTTTTTATTGACAATTAAAATTTACATTTGTTTATTATAAATATCAAGACGTATAATGAAAAAAATAATTAAAATGAATGATGCTGTAACAAAATTGTTTAAGTACAGATCTACCACCGGTACCGTAGTTAAATTTTGTATCAGGAAATAATATTTAGTCTAAATTATTGTATTACACGATGTACTTGCATCCATACAGTGAAGCATCGTTGCTATCTTGCGTATTATGACAATAGTTTTAATTTAAAGTCATAAATAATGAATAGATATACAAGTGTGTGTCGATATTTGTGCAAGGTACGGTACAATTGTTTGTTTACGTACCAGCAATCGAGGAGGCGGATGGGTGCATCTTGAGCTTCTCGGGTGTCGTCTCAAAGCAGTGGTTTGCTAAGATCACCTAGCTAGTATCTGTACTTCTAGGAAGGACAGAGATAAGTCGTACAAGATGGTGACAGCAAGTAACAGGAACAGCGGCGAGACGAAAGAGGATAAGAAATCTACAGGACCGAGTCCAAGCAATGGCCACGTCTCTGCTCACTGCGACGACGCTGAGAAAGATGGGGGTAAGTCTATAAAGTTTGTCTTTAGGCCGCAAATTTTGTGATTTATTCAAGACTGTGCTTTCACGAATAATGTGTGAAGTACAGGGCATTGTTAATGATCAGGTTTTTAAGTTCTGAGTAAGTGATGACGATGGATGCTGATCTCAAGTTAGTAAGGGAGAAGGAAATTTTTTAGGCAATTGTTACATAACATATAGCCCCTCAAGGAAGGTTCCTTGATGTTGGTGAGGGGCTCTTGATTTAGGGAATTGGATCTGTGCTCCAGTTCCCCGAATTAAGCCTGAATGCCATCCACATCCCCCCCCCAGGTGCTGTATAATCCTCCGGGTTTAGCGCTTCCCCCTTGATTATAATAATAATAATAATACATAACATATATTAGATTTTTTTTACTGTGGTCATGAGGGCACACAGATGATTAGTAGTATTCATATGTATTATATTATGTAGATTTAGCTTTAAAGTAAATTCCTTTATGTTAACTTTATTAATATATTAATTAAGCTTTATTTAGGTTAAATTTACAGATGCTTTTACAAACTGCTGTTATATATTTCTACAATGTTTGCATATAACATTATTATCATAACCATATAAGGGTGATGAATGAGGAAGATTTATCCTAGTCATTGGGTTTGATCCAAGAACTCATGGAAATGCTGGGCATGTTTCTCTATACCTTACTCTTTGTCCACCTAACAATAAGTAGGTTCCTGGGTGTTAGGTGACCATTGTGAATTACATCCTGAGGAAGAGGATAAAAGGATCCCAGTGGAAATAAGCCAGACATAACTACCTATAGACTACCTCTAAATAATTCCAGTTGTCACCATCCTCATGGCCCAGTCCAAGACCAGGCTTCCTGGTTGACAGCCTGATCAATCAGCCTAATAAGTCAGGCTGTTGGTGCACATAGCCTGACGTAGGTGCCACAGCCTGCCCGATCAAAAACTGATTTGAGGAGTTTGTCAGATTGTTTATTGGTGACAGCTATGGGTGTATTAGTGATTTCCCTTATTAATGAAAGGAAGGCACTGATAATCTTGGTCCCTAGACATGTATTGAGCAGTTTCTTAGTGTACTTTTTGTACCCTTACTTTTTATTGGGAGTATATTGTACCCTCAGTTGAGCCTCTGTTTTTGTAGGATGCAATATGGGACCAATCTCTCCAGAATTTTAAAGGTGTAAGTAAAGAGTACCATTCAAGGGATTTTCAGGTGTTCCCAGTATTTTGGTGCTTGATTAAATTTATACAGGCAGTGAAGGTTCTCAAGTCTCCAGATCTACAGTTTTTTCCTGCCTTTAATTAAAAGCTGCTGTTACCATACAGCAGTATTGCAGTCTAGAGAGAACTTTTAACTTAAGAGTATCATCATTGGCTTGATGTATGTTGTAATAAAGTTAGTAGAATTACCAACAATATGTAAAGTAAAAGGACACAAGTGCAACTAATGTGACATTTTATTGTGGCAACGTTTCGCTCTCCAGGAGCTTTGCCAAGCCGTTACGGCTTGACAAAGCTCCTGGAGAGCGAAACGTTGCCACAACAAAATATCACATTAGTTGCACTTGTGTCCTTTTACTTTGATATATGTTGTTTTACAGGTTCTAGTTATCCAACCTATCATTTTCCTTATGAGTGTGATGATAACACTGTTGTGATCATCGAATGTAAGATCTGACATTATCACTCACTAAGTGGGGACTAGTACCGAACTTGCACACGAAAATCACTCACTACGAAAGCAAAAGACTTGGCAGACGATGCAACATCCCCCCAATGAAAAGCAGGGGTGTCACTAGCACGTTAAGAGACCATACAATAAGTGTCAGGGGCCCGAGACTGTTCAACTGCCTCCCAGCATACATAAGGGGGATTACCAACAGACTCCTGGCAGTCTTCAAGCTGGCACTGGACAAGCACCTAAAGTCGGTTCCTGACCAGCCGGGCTGTGGCTCGTACGTTGGTTTGCGTGCAGCCAGCAGCAACAGCCTGGTTGATCAGGCTCTGATCCACCAGGAGGCCTGGTCACAGACCGGGCCGCGGGGGCGTTGACCCCCGGAACTCTCTCCAGGTAAACTCCAGGTAAGTCCTTCACATTACTCTTCTGCTTGATTGTGTGGTATGAGTTTGTTTTATACTCCATTCCAGGTTTATGTAGTGGAATAGCTGCAGTTTGTTGTCATTGAATGCCATAGTGGCTTTATTGAGTTATCTTGGATTGCTAACTCTCCAGGTTAATTCTCCGAATAACAATGTCCTTTTTTTTTCTACAATACCTTAACAAACCTAATTAGTAAGGTTTATTTTATTTGAGCATGAGAATAGAGGAGCAGTGTAGTAGGCCTATTGACCCATACTAGGCAGGTTTCACAGGACTCCTCACTCAAGTGGTAGTGCTTTTGGCTTGCATATGGAGGACCTAGATTTGATCCAAGAGGTGATGGATATGGACATGTTTCTTGACACCTGTAGCCCCTGTTCACCTAGCAGTACTTGCGTTATGCTGGGTTAATAGTCTGAATATTAATTTTTTATTTTATTATCACACCGGCCGATTCCCACCAAGGCAGGGTGGCCCGAAAAAGAAAAACTTTCACCATCATTCACTCCATCACTGTCTTGCCAGAAGGGTGCTTTACACTACAGTTTTTAAACTGCAACATTAACACCCCTCCTTCAGAGTGCAGGCACTGTACTTCCCATCTCCAGACTCAAGTCCGGCCTGCCGTTTCCCTGAATCCCTCATAAATGTTACTTTGCTCACACTCCAACAGCACGTCAAGTATTAAAAACCATTTGTCTCCATTCACTCCTATCAAACACGCTCACGCATGCCTGCTGGAAGTCCAAGCCCTCGCACACAAACCTCCTTTACCCCCTCCCGCCAACCCTTCCTAGGCCGACCCATACCCCGCCTTCCTTCCACTACAGACTGATACACTCTGAGTCATTCTGTTTCGCTCCATTCTCTCTACATGTCCGAACACACCTCAACAACCCTTCCTCAGCCCTCTGGACAACAGTTTTGGTAATCCCGCACCTCCTCCTAACTTCCAAACTACGAATTCTCTGCATTATATCACACCACACATTGCCCTCAGACATGACATCTCCACTGCCTCCAGCCTTCTCCTCGCGCAACTTCATCACCCCGTTCACACCCAATAAACGTTGGTAAAACTATACTCTCATACATTCCCCCTGCCTCCCAAAGGGCAAATAGGTTGGTAGACAGCAACCAAACCATGGAAGTACTAAACCCTCCTGCCAAATGACTGTAAAAAGAAACCTGTAACTGTTTTGCATGAATGGTAGGGTTGCTGGTTCTTTTGTCTCATAACACGCTAGATAACAGGGATATCTTCATCCTCTTACACTTTGGTCACACTTCAAAAGAAAGCATATGCTATTATATACATACATCAGGTTTTTCTCCTTTTTCTAAATAGCTCTTGTTCCTCTTTATTTCTTCTATTGTCCATGGGAAGTGGAAAAGAATCTTTCCTCCGTAAGCCATGCGTGTCGTATGAGGCGACTAAAATGCCGGGAGCAATGGGCTAGTAACCCCTTCTTCTGTAGACATTTACTAAAAAAGAGAAGAAGAAAAACTTTATAAAACTGGGATGCTTAAATGTGCGTGGATGTAGTGCGGATGACAAGAAACAGATGATTGCTGATGTTATGAATGAAAAGAAGTTGGATGTCCTGGCCCTAAGCGAAACAAAGCTGAAGGGGGTAGGGGAGTTTCGGTGGGGGGAAATAAATGGGATTAAATCTGGAGTATCTGAGAGAGTTAGAGCAAAGGAAGGGGTAGCAGTAATGTTGAATGATCAGTTATGGAAGGAGAAACGAGAATATGAATGTGTAAATTCAAGAATTATGTGGATTAAAGTAAAGGTTGGATGCGAGAAGTGGGTCATAATAAGCGTGTATGCACCTGGAGAAGAGAGGAATGCAGAGGAGAGAGAGAGATTTTGGGAGATGTTAAGTGAATGTATAGGAGCCTTTGAACCAAGTGAGAGAGTAATTGTGGTAGGGGACCTGAATGCTAAAGTAGGAGAAACTTTTAGAGAGGGTGTGGTAGGTAAGTTTGGGTGCCAGGTGTAAATGATAATGGGAGCCCTTTGATTGAACTTTGTATAGAAAGGGGTTTAGTTATAGGTAATACATATTTTAAGAAAAAGAGGATAAATAAGTATACAAGATATGATGTAGGGCAAAATGACAGTAGTTTGTTGGATTATGTATTGGTAGATAAAAGACTGTTAAGTAGACTTCAGGATGTACATGTTTATAGAGGGGCCACAGATATATCAGATCACTTTCTAGTTGTAGCTACACTGAGAGTAAAAGGTAGATGGGATAAAAGGGAGAGAATAGAAGCATCAGGGAAGAGAGAGGTGAAGGTTTATAAACTAAAAGAGGAGGCAGTTAGGGTAAGATATAAACAGCTATTGGAGGATAGATGGGCTAATGAGAGCATAGGCAATGGGGTCGAAGAGGTATGGGGTAGGTTTAAAAATGTAGTGTTAGAGTGTTCAGCAGAAGTTTGTGGTTACAGGAAAGTGGGTGCGGGAGGGAAGAGGAGCGATTGGTGGAATGATGATGTGAAGAGAGTAGTAAGGGAGAAAAAGTTAGCAATGAGAAGTTTTTACAAAGTAGAAGTGATGCAAGGAGGGAAGAGTATATGGAGAAAAAGAGAAGGTTAAGAGAGTGGTGAAGCAATGTAAAAAGAGAGCAAATGAGAGTGGGTGAGATGTTATCAACAAATTTTGTTTGAAAATAAGAAAAGTTTTGGAGTGAGATTAACAAGTTAAGAAAGCCTAGAGAACAAATGGATTTGTCAGTTAAAAATAGGAGAGGAGAGTTATTAAATGGAGAGTTAGAGGTATTGGGAAGATGGAGGGAATATTTGAGGAATTGTTAAATGTTGATGAAGATAGGGAAGCTGTGATTTTGTGTATAGGGCAAGGAGGAACAACATCTTGTAGGAGTGAGGAAGAGCCAGTTGTGAGTGTGGGGGAAGTTCGTGAGGCAGTAGGTAAAATGAAAGGGGGTAAGGCAGCTGGGATTGATGGGATAAAGATAGAAATGTTAAAAGCAGGTGGGGATACAGTTTTGGAGTGGTTGGTGCAATTATTTAATAAATGTATGGAAGAGGGTAAGGTACCTAGGGATTGGCAGAGAGCATGCATAGTTCCTTTGTATAAAGGCAAAGGGGATAAAAGAGAGTGCAAAAATTATAGGGGGATAAGTCTGTTGAGTATACCTGGCAAAGTATATGGTCGAGTTATTATTGAAAGAATTAAGAGTAAGACGGAGAATAGGATAGCAGATGAACAAGGAGGCTTTAGGAAAGGTAGGGGGTGTGTGGACCAGGTGTTTACAGTGAAACATATAAGTGAACAGTATTTAGATAAGGCTAAAGAGGTCTTTGTGGCATTTATGGATTTGGAAAAGGCATATGACAGGGTGGATAGGGGGGCAATGTGGCAGATGTTGCAGGTGTATGGTGTAGGAGGTAGGTTACTGAAAGCAGTGAAGAGTTTTTTACGAGGATAGTGAGGCTCAAGTTAGAGTATGTAGGAAAGAGGGAAATTATTTCCCAGTAAAAGTAGGCCTTAGACAAGGATGTGTGATGTCACCAGGGTTTGTTTAATATATTTATAGATGGGGTTGTAAGAGAAGTAAATGCGAGGGTCTTGGCAAGAGGCGTGGAGTTAAAAGATAAAGAATCACACATAAAGTGGGAGTTGTCACAGTTGCTCTTTGCTGATGACACTGTGCTCTTGGGAGATTCTGAAGAGAAGTTGCAGAGATTGGTGGATGAATTTGGTAGGGTGTGCAAAAGAAGAAAATTGAAAGTGAATACAGGAAAGAGTAAGGTTATGAGGATAACAAAAAGATTAGGTGATGAAAGATTGGATATCAGATTGGAGGGAGAGAGTATGGAGGAGGTGAATGTATTCAGATATTTGGGAGTGGACGTGTCAGCGGATGGGTCTATGAAAGATGAGGTGAATCATAGAATTGATGAGGGGAAAAGGGTGAGTGGTGCACTTAGGAGTCTGTGGAGACAAAGAACTTTGTCCTTGGAGGCAAAGAGGGGAATGTATGAGAGTATAGTTTTACCAACGTCTCATATGGGTGTGAAGCATGGGTGATGAATGTTGCAGCGAGGAGAAGGCTGGAGGCAGTGAAGATGTCGTGTCTGAGAGCAATGTGTGGTGTGAATATAATGCAGAGAATTCGTAGTTTGGAAGTTAGGAGGAGGTGCGGGATTACCAAAACTGTTGTCCAGAGGGCTGAGGAAGGGTTGTTGAGGTGGTTCGGACATGTGGAGAGAATGGAGCGAAACAGAATAACTTCAAGAGTGTATCAGTCTGTAGTGGAAGGAAGGCGGGGTAGGGGTCGGCCTAGGAAAGGTTGGAGGGAGGGGGTAAAGGAGGTTTTGTGTGCGAGGGGCTTGGACTTCCAGCAGGCATGCGTGAGTGTGTTTGATAGGAGTGAATGGAGACAAATGGTTTTTAATACTTGACGTGCTGTTGGAGTGTGAGCAAAGTAACATTTATGAAGGGGTTCAGGGAAACCGACAGGCCGGACTTGAGTCCTGGAGATGGGAAGTACAGTGCCTGCACTCTGAAGGAGGGGTGTTAATGTTGCAGTTTAAAAACTGTAGTGTAAAGCACCCTTCTGGCAAGACAGTGATGGAGTGAATGATAGTGAAAGTTTTTCTTTTTCGGGCCACCCTGCCTTGGTGGGAATCGGCCAGTGTGATAATAAATAAAAAAAATAGTCACATTCTTCCTAGTCCTTGTGTAGCATGTTTAAATTATAAAATTAGTTTCCTTTGTTTCTGCAGTTTCATTATTTAGGTAATGTACTTAGTTTCAGGTGCCTCCCAGGAGAAATACATGATTTGCAGAAAGAATCTTTAGTGAGACTGTTTGCTGTGGAACTGTCTTCTTTAGTTATTGACTTAAGAAGCCTGTTTCATAAGTGAAACATCTCAATAAAGTTCCTCTCCCTGTATAGCCATCTTCTCCATATGTCAGCCTTACACCATATCTTCATTATAGGTACCACATTCTGCTGTGGTACTGTATTCAACTCAATGAAAAGTTTTATGTATGGGCAAGACTCATAACTACTGTGACTTTTACCTATCCAAAATATCCATTAATGGAATGTGAGAGATTTAGATGATATCCATTGGTGGGGTACGTAGAGATTTCAGGTGACGACTCATTTCAGGATTGTTTTGTAAGTAATTTAATCATAATCTTGAACTTCAGATACTGGAATGCGAGTTGGGAAGGCTTTCCAAGCAGAGATCCCATCGATGCTGCCTTCCCACGGTAAGTTAGTAACTTATAGGCTATTAACCTTACATAGAAAATACTTTATATCCAGGTACAGTGGACCCCTGGTTTTCGCTCGGTGCGGAAATCATACAATTCGGATTTCAAGTACTTTTTTCGGCAAAATTTCCCCCCGGGTTTCGTACATCCCCTCAGAAATCATTAGTACCAGATGCGTGAGCCTGGGCCGCTCATACGTTCGTGACTCACTCTTGGGCGCATTAAATGTCTTATTTTAGGTTAATATAGACATTTTCATTAATCTATCGATGATATTTTCTTCAAAATTATGTAAGAAGCATGTTACATAGCATATAAACATGCAATATTTGTATGCAGTGGAGGGCAAACATTACATTTTCTCTGGTCCAGCATTAGAGAAAACTGTGTGAATCTCCGTTGGCCCAGTAACCGCCGTTGGTACATAAGCTTTTATTTACAGTTCTCGGCATGAATTATTAATTGCTTCTTCCTTTGTTTATGACGGCATCTAAAGGTAGTTGTTAGAAACGATTAAACTCGGTGAACGTGGTATGTTGATGGTAATACTATGGCTGTAGGCCGCAGTGTATGTAACCGGTAGGTATACACTGGGATGTAGTCCACCTGGGACTACAATTAAATACTACTCACCAATAAGAGTCTTCAATAAATATAAATGACTAATTTTAATGATAAATGTTCATTTATCATTAAAATTAGTCATTTATATTTATTTCTCATTGTTTTCTGTATGTAAAACTATAGTTATTCTCTACAAAATGTATTTTTTTTTGTTAATATTTTTGGGTGTCTGAAATGGATTAATTGGATTTACATTACATGTATTTCTTATAGGAAATATTACTTCGGTTTTCGGCCATTTCGGGGTTTGGCCAACCTTCTGGAACGGATTAATTACGAAAACCGGGGGTTTACTGTATCTCTTTATTCATTACTGGTAAGTAAATCATTAATGACTTGAATAATAACATAAATGCAGTGTAATTGAATGTTATGCAGTGATTAACCCTTAAACTGTCCAAACGTAGATCTACGTTTGCACCGCTAGCGCTCCGAACGTAGATCTACATTTTTTACGTGCTTTCTTATGGGGAAAATAAGGTCAGAGCGCTATGCGTGAAAATGTAGATCTACGTTTGGACAGTTTAAGGGTTAAAGAATTAAAAAAATTCAGAAAAAAGAGTATTAGTATGAAATATATAATGTATTAGCCACTTTATTCTTTTTCTTTTTCTTTATTCTTTTTCTTCCATAGGGCTGCATTAGCCCTTTAATTTTCTTTTATTTCACTTCAAGGAAAATTGGCAGACACATGGAAGATGGCACACATGCCAGTGTTTGAAAAACAAAAGATGGTAAGGCAGACTCTTTAAATTGTAGGCTGGGTCTGTTGGTAAGTGTTGTGTAAAAAAGGGAATAAAGCCATTGTAGTGTCAACAATTTGACTTTTGATCTGGAAATTCTTTTAAGCCATTATGACAAAGTTGCAAAAATTTGCTCTAGGGCAGAATGGATGGGCAGTTTGTATTTATCTAGATTTTTTAAGAAAACTTTTGTTTGAATTTCCCATGAGAAACTAATTTAGAAATGTCAGAGCCTAGGGGGTAGCAAAAGATAAATTAGTAAAATGAATAGAGACTTTGAGAGAAAAATGCATTTCGCTTTTATGCATTTTATTTTAAAACTTTGAGAAAAATGCATTTAATTTTAAAACTTTGTTATAGAGAAAAATATCACTGTGGGAAGATGTCACAGATGGGGTACCACAAGAATCTGTGCCCCAATAGCATTTTTAATTTATATAAATGATTTACTAGAAGGAATAAAAAAACTGTGACTATGCAAATAAAAAAAATATTTGGCCCAATAAATAATAAAAATGATTGTAAATCTCTGTAGGATGGCTTGGATAAATGGAGTGCATGGAGCAATAGGTGGGCCCCACTTATACAGCAGGTTAAGTTTTGGGCTATCGCTGTAAAGCAGAAATCGCTGGAAAGTGAAACATGGCCTTTTTCACCTTCAAATGCATATGAAAGCCTGATAACATGTTTACACTGTCATATATTAAGTGAGCAATAGAACTATGCCTAAAAATATATATATACATGGGTTTTTTTTCTCTCTTGACTAGGACATGCAGGCTTGAATGTCCAAAAATGTGATGTGACATTTTCTTTTTGTAGAGCGTCGGCCAGAGCAGTGTCCTGAGAGAGCCTTGCTGGTGTGGGCACCAAAGCTGGAGCTCAACGAGGAGAGCCGTGAGTGTGTGTGTGTGTGTGTGTGCCGTACTGAATAGGTAAAACTGGCGATTTTGGCTTAACCCTTTGACTGTCGCAACCCCCAATCCTGAGGTGTCTCCTGGTGTCGCAAAATTTAAAAAAAAAAATTATTTTTTCTTATGAAATGATAGAGAATCTTTTCCCGATTGTAATGACACCAAAAAAATGAAATTTGATGGAAAACTGACGGAATTATGCTCTCGTGAAGTTAGCAACCTCGGCGCTGTTTACAAATCGGCGATTTCGCCCACTTTGAGCCCTATTTTCGGCTAATTCCATTGTTCCAGTCGCCCAAACTCATAGCTATTTCTTTAGAACTCCATTTTTTCTATCGATTGAGTACAAGAAACTGCCCATTTACCGATTTCAACTACCTAATAATGTGGTCAGAAATTTCCAATTTGGCCAATTTCACGAAAACTAAAAAATATGACAATTTCAAAATAAGGTCCAGAATGAACAATGCAGACATTCCTGGCTCTAAAATAACATTTTCTTTGCTCATCAATCATGTCTCCAGGCCCCTCTGATATTACTCTTGCTTTCTATTTTGAATTTATTCAAACAAAAAATAGAACACTTACTATTATGCAGACTACTGCAATACTGTAATAATTGTATAAATAACATCAACCCATTCATGACTGCATATTAGAATTGCTAGTTGGACATTTATTGGACAATGGCATCATTTGTTTACTTTTGAACATTGGCAAAAATCAAACATTTCCCATACTTTGAGCTCCATTTTCAGGTTCTTTTTATAGTAAAATCAGTCAAAATCACCTCTATTTCTATAATATGCTTTCCATTCTATCAAATGAGACCAAGAAAACGAGAATACAACCATAAATACTATATGAAAATAGACCACAAATTCGGCATTTTAATTAAAAACCGGTCGGAGTTTTTTTTCTCATTATGCACTGCGTGCTCCAGGATTTTTTTTATATGGTGCACACTGACCACACAGACCCATTCTCTCACATGTGGGCCTACCAGCTTTCTCCTGCTTGATTTGAAGCCGCTAGAATTTATGAGTATATATACGTCAAACACAGTACCTCGTAAGACGTATATATACGGCCGCGACAGTCAAAGGGTTAAATAGCAATGCACTTTTTGCGAAATAAGGCAAGGGAAAACTTGTGTATGTAATAATGTTGCAGATATCAGGAAAAGTGTTGTCTTTGCTTCTTTATCCTTATTGAGTTATCTTTTAGTGTAAATGTCCCTGCTTTCAGTGAAGAAAGCCACTTGCTTAATGGGGGAATAATTTTGTAGTGCAGGTCTGGGACCAATCTCTCCAGGATTTTCCAAGTGTAAAAGTTGTCTTGTATATTCCTGAAATTTTCTGAAGAATACATGGTTATTTACTAGTTTTTATAATTTTAACCTGTTCTAAATAATCTGCATGTAGTGACTTAGTAATAAACTGGTATAATGGATGAAAGATTATATGGTATTTTTCAGAAATGCTTTTCTTCCCATTTTCAGATTGCATTGCATCATTTATTATTTTGATACATGAATAAGTTCACTAGGGTTGAAGGTAACACTCAATAGTACTGTATAACTGTTCCAAATCCCCTTTCCACTTTTCTCGCACTCCACTGCATCCACCCACATTTCACTGTATCCACCTCTATTCCACTGCATCCACCTCCATTGGATGTAGTATGAATGATGTGTGAATAATTAATATTTTTTAATAAGATAGAAAACTATATTAATGAAGTTTGATACACTTGAAGAGAAAAACACTATATAGACAAGAAGAATACACTGTAACATTTTTTATGGAGATGGTTAGCAGCGCTAGAACATGGGGAGGGGGTCAAATGGTGTTGGTAAGCAAATATATAATCTTATTGTATTGGCTTACTGATTAACCCTTAAACGGTCCAAACGTATATATACATTTTTTACATTTGAAAATGTGTAAAAAAAACTTTTATCTACATTTTTTTTGTTATATTTGAAAATATGTAAAAAAAAGTAGATCTACTTTTGGAACACTATGAATTTGAACGTCAATCTGTTTGGACCGTTTAAGGGTTAAGAGTCAGCAATGGGTGTCTGTATATTATACAATACTTCAACATTTTGGGAAAATTAGGAGAGCCATAAGTGGCTGGATTTGTTTGTCAGGTTCTTTTGGTATCTTTGTGTCATATATATTTCATAAAAATAATATAACTTTCATTTCTGTTATAACCAATTTTTATTACGTGACTTTCTTATTTTACTTTCTGTATAAAAAGGTTATTATGATTAATAAATGCAGTATTTAAGATATTAGTTTTTTATACTAAATATATTATCTAATTTTTCTATGCACAGTACATTTTAAGATGCATTGCAGTCACTACTACTGCCTTACCTTCACTACATACAAACAGCATATGGACAAAGCTTAATATGTGGATTTTAACCCTAAAATAAGTATTTCCTTTGTATTATATTTTGTATTGAAATTTATGGTTTTGTGCAATTCCAGTTGAACAATACATCTGGCTAGCAAAAGATAAATACGGGTATAATGCCGAGCAAGCTCTCGGCATGTTGTTTTGGCATCGACATGACCTTGAAAAAGCAACTGCAGACCTCGCAAACTTTACACCCTTCCCGGATGAGTGGACCACGGAAGATAAAGTTCTTTTTGAACAAGCTTTCCAGTTTCATGGCAAAAGTTTTCATAGAATTAGACAAATGGTATGATTGTTATAATTGTTAGTATTTTTCTGTTATAGAATTACATTGTTTGATCTGGATGAATTTTTTTTTTTTTTTTAGCAAGTCGGCCGTCTCCCACCGAGGCAGGGTGACCCAAAAAGAAAGAAAATCCCTGAAAAGAAAATACTTTCATCATCATTCAACTCTTTCACCTCACTCACACATAATCACTGTTTTTGCAGAGGTGCTCAGAACACAACAGCTTAGAAGCATATACATATAAAGATACACAACATATCCCTCCAAACCGTCAATATCCCGAACCCCTCCTTTAGAGTGCAGGCATTGTAATTCCCATTTCCAGGACTCAAGTACGGCTATATAAAAATAACCGATTTCCCTGAATCCCTTCACTAAATATTACCCTGCTCACACTGGATGAATATGAAACCATATTTGTAGACATGACATCTCCGCTGGAGGCAGTGGAGATGTCATGTCTGAGGGCAATGTGTGATGTGAATATAATGAGAAAATTGTAGTTTTGGAATTTAGGGGAGGGCGGTTTTACCAAAATGTTGTCAAGGGTGGGGAAAAGGGTTGTTGAGGTGGTTCACATTGGGAAAATGAGCGAAAAAATGACTTCAAGAGTGTTCAGTTGTAGGGGAAAGGAAGGCGGGGGGGGGGGGTCGGCCTAGGAAAGGTTGGAGGGAGGGGGTAAAGGAGGTTTTGTGTGCGGGGGCTTGGTTTCCCGGGGATGCGGATGTGTTTGAAGGAGTAAAGGGAGAAAAAGGTTTTTAAATATTGACTTGCTTTTGGGGTTTTGAGAAAGTAACATTTATAAAGGGGTTCGGGGAAACGGCAGGCCGGACTTGACCCGGGAAGGGGGAAAACAGTCCCTCATCTGAAGGAGGGGTTTTTTATGTTGAATTTTAAAAAAACTGTAGTGTAAAGCACCCTTCGGGAAGACAGTGAGGGAGAAATGATGGTGAAATTTTCTTTTTCGGGCCCCCCTGATTTGGGGGGAATCGGCCGTGTGTAAAAAAAAAAAAAAAATTTTAGAGTCAGTCCCCTGCACTCAAAAGGAGGGTTTTGGGGTTTTTCTTTTTTGAGGGACATCTAAATGTCATATCTGGGGCCTCTGGCAAGCAGTATATGTGAGTGATGGTGGGTGTTTCTTTTTTGGGTCACCCTGCTTCATGGAGATTGCCTTTAAAAAAAAAAATGTAGGTTGGAGAAGCAACCCCCAGGGAATTATACCATCCTGTAAAGGGGAATGTAAAAGGGAAATAGTAATTGTTTTACACAATGGTAGGATGCTATGGCCTTTTTTTTTCTTTTGATAAATAAAAGGGTAGGGGGTACTGCATCTTTTTTTGTCATTTAAAGTCCACTCAATGAATTTTGTGTATGTAACACACCATCTGTTTTTTTCTTTTTCTTTCATAGTTCTTGTTATTTTTTGTGAGGGAAAAGTTCAATAGTAGAGAGCGAGGGAGTATATAGTAAATTTTCTTTCCCGGGCTATTTGTTAAGGTAGGAAAAGAAAGCCCCCACTTTCCCCCCCTTTTTTTTCCCCCACCCCTAAAGTGTAGTTTGTTGCGGGTTTTTTAAAAGTAGGTCAGTCTAGCCCCCCTATCCCTTCCTCTCCCTCTTCCCCCCCCCCGAAAGGTGAGTGGGGGGTCGGGTCAAACAGTAAATCACTCGACTCACAGCCCCCAAACCCACTACTGTAAACTGCCTGCCTTGTTTCTAGTAGATTTATTGGGTTTGAAAGTTTCACTTTGGACCAATAAAAAAACTTATTCTTTTCACCTTGCCTAATTGACTGTTAATAATCACCACGTCTTTTAGGTATTGTACTGATCATGGAGATGTTTATTTAAGCAGGGGGAAACCCGTCTACTTTTCAGCTTGGATGAAAGAGGGTCCCCTTTCAATCAACGGAAAAATGCGGGGGGACGGACAAGTCCTGGAGACGCCCCCATTTTGGATTTTTTACCTTTTGCCCCTGTATAAAAATTGCAGGAGAAACCCCCACATCATTGCAGCGGAAAAAGAACCTGCTTTCCCTGTCAGGGGGGGATAGAATACTCACGGGATACTCTGTGAAAAAACTAGCCGGGGGTGGTCACCAACACCTCACCCCCCCCCCCCCCCCCCATCAGCAACGGTAAGTTTTAAAACAACACAAAGTGTCCCAACCCCGGGGCACCCCCAAATTATATTGGGTTTGGGTTAAATGTTTTTTTTTCTTTCATTTTTCTTTTTTTCTGTCAAATAGGAATCCGTATGTTTTATTTTTTTTTTGCTTAATAAATAAAAAGTTTTATTTTGGTTAATTATTATTTCGTTTTTTTTCATTAATTTTCCCTGGGGAGGAGCTACCTTTGGGTAATACTGTCTGAAGTTTTACGGGCTGAGAAAGCCTTCAAAATTTTGGCGCCCTTCCAGGATAAACTCGAGAATCAAGATTCAACTCCATCTCAAATCTCCCATTGGAACTTCAACGCCGTTTTCCAAGGGGTTACCACCAGCCTGAGAAATCTTTTTCTCTATGGTAGGATTAGGGTCGGGTATTTAAAGATTGGTGTTTGTTAAGTCTCAATTTTTGTAACCCAAGTCGGGGCGGGATATAATAGTTAATTCTGCCACCTTCTTGTGAGCTTGAAACACTTTGGGGGATTAACCCCTGGGGCCCAAATTTTTTCCAGTGAAAATTTGTTTCTTGAGCTCTTTTTTATATAAAGGGGAAACTGCTGGGGCCTCTTGATTTGTTGGGGGAAAATTGGATGGTCAAGGACCCCATTTACTTATGTTTGCTCGGACCCGGGCATAGAACCCCTTCGTTTTCATTAATACATATTGTTTAATGGCGGGGATCGACCCCTTGGGTTTTATTTCAGTTTGAGCGGAGCGGGAATTAAACCCCGTTTTTTTTAATACCCGTTTTTTCCCCCCGGGTGTTTAAGTTTTCTTGCAAATATGGAGGAAACCAGTTTTGGAAATGAATGTGAAGTAATTGGGAAATAACGGGAAAAATTTAAAATCTTTCATTATCAAAATCCAGGAAAGAATTAAAAAGGAAGAGAGAGAATCAAAAAGAAAAAGGGGAAAAGGAGGATAAAAAAACGAAAGAGAAACAAAAAAGAGTGTGTAGGCTTGATCGTGGGAAAGGCTAGGAACGTGGGGAAAGAGCTAAAGTACGGGGAAAAAGTTAAATTTTAAAGGAACTTGAGGAAAATGCAAAGGATAAGGATATGAGTTAGGGAAGAGAAAAGGAGCGAGCTCGAACAAGCCCCCTTTTAAATTAAGAAAAAAAATTTTAACTTTCTCAAACAGCAATTAGATAAAGGGATAATGGAACAACTGCAGTAGTGCCATTTCCAACACCAAATTTTACCTCCCTTCACAGGGGGGGAAGAATAACTTCATAATTATCGGGGTTTGAAAATACCGTTTCCCTGTGAATGGCCTGCTGACCCCTGAGCTACCGGGTTGGGAAATTTTTATTTTGGTCCCGCTTTAAATATCTATGCAATTTTGTCGCGGGATATCATATGTTATAAACTGAAGAAGGCTTTTTAAAGCTATAAAAAAAACCACTAATTTTTTTTCAGGAAAGATTTTAGGTAGCCACCTTAAGCCGGGCCAGAATTTTCAGCAGTACAGGTAACATTTTTTTTGTTCATTTTTGGATAGAGAGTTCAGGAATTGACGCATTTGGAATCTCTTAGGATTCATGGTTCTGACCATTCCTGACAGTTTTTCCCACAGAAAACTTCATCAGAGAAAGTAAACCCGATTAAAGCTGAGGAAATGTGAGGCTGTGACCTTATGGAGGCCCCAATTCTATAAGACCCAAAGGGATCGAACCCTAAGGGGAAGGGTTCTCAACCTTAAAAAAAAAAGCTCTAGTGGGAAAATAAAAAAGACTTCTTTTATTCCTGTTTGCTTTGTGGGTGTTTGGGGGCATAAACTCCCAAATTTTCCCTTTTAAGAAGGTCCAAAAAATTGGAAGATTTTTTAAAACTTAATGACCAAGCCCCTTCTGTTCAGGAACAGTTAAGGACTTAATGACTACCTTTTTTGGACACTGGAGCACTGTATATCATTTTGATAAACTGTTCCTAATCTTGAAGAAACCATTCCTCTGCAACTTTCAGACTACTTGGCCCACAGACATTTTTACCATTTTTTTACATTTGGTTAAATGGTTCACAGGGTTGGTCTGAAACTGTACTAGCTCCATCACTTTTTGCTCCGACTAAGGAATGTAAAAGGTGCCTTCTTCCTTTGAGGTTTTACCTTTCTCCAAAGATGGATTTAAGTGTTTTAGATTTTCTTCCGTAGAGTCAGAGAAGCCCCTAGAAAGTTCAATGAGACAATGTCTCGCGATATTCTGTGGGATTAAAAACCAGTGATGCTACCTCGAAAGCAAGGAAGTAGGTCACCGGGTTTACTTGTTAATGAAAATGAAAATCACCTCGTATAAAAGTCTGACTGGGTCAGACCAAAACCCCGGGTTTCCTACTGTCCATCCCTTTTATTTCCCTGATTCAAGCCTTTAGATATATCGAAGGATGTTTCGTTAAATTTTCAATGTAATTGCCCTTCTCTTCAGAATTTCATAATGCCGCTAAGCAAAATCAGTTATCCAAAGGAAAAACTTTTTTAATAAATTTGAATATAAAAAGGTATCTTTTACAAGTCAGTATTCAAATTAAATTTAGATGAGACGACATTCAATCTTTGTTGTTCCAAATCAAAGAGAGAGACTGTTTTAAAGGGTATGATTGCCAGTGGCCCACATTTCTTTCATGTAAAAAACCTTTAAAAAAATTTGGGAAACCCATTTTTGGCCAAAAATGTCTCAATGTCACTACCCCATTTTGTGTGTAAAGTTTTCCAACTGTATCCTCCCCAGGGGCCAGGCGAGTACCTTGGTCAAAAAGCCTATCTTTTGGGGACCGTTTGAAAGATATATTGACATCTTGGGCCTTATTCCACTTTCATTTGGGGGGCTAGATATTATTAACATTATTGATTATGCTTCGAGTTTCCCCAAACCCTTCCCTTAAAGACCCCTTAAATACTACAGAGGTGGCTGAAGCCCTTATGTCCCTCTTCTCCGAGTGGCATCCCTAGAGAAATTTTTCTGACCCTGGACACAATTTTACATTGACTTAATGCAACATCTCTACCAACTTCTGGGGTGAAGCCTTTTCACCACCCTATCATCCCAGCGTAATGGGAGGATTTAGGCCAGATTCGATCTCAAGTCCTTTTTAAGGAAACTTTTCTCCTTAAACTAAGGAGTGGGATTGTTCCTACCCTTTTTTTGTTTGCCATGAGGGAATTCCAGTGACTCTTGGGTTTTCCCCTTTGAAAATTCTTATGGTAACAGGCCAGAGGCCCCTTTTCCTCCTTCTGACTTTTGGGGGCTAATGAGGGGAAAAACTGAGGTTCAGTTTCTTACCCGTTTTCCTTGACCCTTAGATCCCAAAATTAGGGGACCTCTGACTGTTTCGAAAAACCTAAACTTGTCAATGGACCCGTACAAAACCTATTTGATTCCCCCAAGTCAAGGGGAAGTTTTAAAAATAGGGGATGAAGTTCGTATTTTTTCCTATCAAATAAAAAAATTATTAGTAGCATGGAAAGGTCCATAAAAGTATTAAAATTTTTTGGGAAAGTTGACTACCTATGAAGTCAAGGGAAACGTAAGCTTTATTTCAACATCCTTTAAGAAATATTTCCCCAAGAAATTCGGTTAACTGCCCTTTAATACTTTTACTTATTTTTACACGAACTTGTACAACAACTGAAAATGTAAGGGTGCAAAAGACCCTCTAAAAATTGACTATATGAAGAACTACATGACTTGGTTGACCTTTTACCCCTCGGGGGCAACCAGCATTAATATTAAGAATCTTTGGTACCATGAATCTTCAATGTGGAGTAACTTTTCAGAGTCTTTACTGAATTCCCGGTGTTTCTTCCACTAGTCCTTTAAAAATTGACTTGGACGGGAAAACCTATAAACGAAAAAATTTTAACCCAGTTTTCCCTTACCCTTGGGATGCATTTTTACCCAGAGGGAGACAAATTATTAAAATAAAATCATTGAACCCTTTAGTATCTTCAAATTTTTCACCCCGTGTCATGGTTAAAAAGGGGAATTCAAAAAGATTGCTATTGACTTCAGAGGCCTTAATGTATAACTCGGGGGAGGGCCATGCCCCTTAAAAATGCGATCTACACAAATTTTTTTGACGCTTTTCTTTTCAAGATTTATTTTGGGAGGCATATCACAAATAATGTTAATCCTCTTCTAAGCTACACCGCTTTTCCCAACACCAAGGACTGATGCAAAAAAGGTCTTTGGGGAATATGCAAAAATTTCAGTTTATTTTTATTAAAATTTATAATGAATCCAAATGGGGGGAACAATCCCCCAAAAATTTAAAGTCGTTTTGGTAGGGTTACGCTCGCATGGCCTCCTGCCAAGCCGAAGAAATGCTTCCTTGGGTTTAAAAAGATTTGATATCTTGGCTGATACTTTCTTAAAAACCTTGCAGCCCCTTTCCCCCGTAAGATCAAAGCTTTATTTGAATTTAAATTCCCCAAAACCAAGAAGCTCATGCGTATTTTCTTGGGTTTTGTAAATTTTTTTGCACGGTTTTTCCCGAACCTTACTGTCTTCAGGCCCTCTTATCCGACTTCCTAAAAAGCTGTAAGGAACCTCTTGAATTTTTCCCAAAGTAGCTCGGGGAAAATTTTGAATTAAAACTCTTTTCGAAAGACCCTATATTAAATTCCCGTATTAAAAAAACATTTTGTTTAAACTATGCCTCCCAAAACTGGGTTAGGTGCGGGTTATACAAAACCATGATGGTACTCCCCTTCCTGTATGCTTCCCAACCGGAAACTCCTTCCCGCAGAAAAGAGATTTCCCACCATAGAAAGGAATGTTTTGCCCTTGTGTGGGGTATCCCAAAATTAAAATTTTTTTTGCTGGGAAAAGAATTATTTTTGAAAAAGGGCCACAAAAACCCTTTTATATACAGAAACTTTTAAGGGAACCAACATCGCCCTGAGGTGGACATTTGGCCCGGTTTTAAATTCCATATTGTGTAATCAATGGTTCATCAATTATTTCTCTGACTGGTTAAGTCGTGACAGCATAGAAGATTTTTTGTCTTACGCGACTTCCATATGTTTGAACTTTTTTCGCCCATTCTTCTTATAACTCCTTGATATAATCTTGGTATGGGGGGGGGTGTGGGGAAAATTCAAAGTAGGAGTAGCGGGGAGTACATAGTTTCATTGCCGGTACTTTTTTAAGGTGGGTAAGTCAGGCATGCTGAGCGTTTTGATAGGGTGAATGGGACAAAAGTTTTTAAAACTTGACGTGGTTGGAGTGTGAGCAAAATAAAAATTTATGAAGGATTCAGGGAAACCCGGCAGGCCCGGGCTTGGTCCTGGGGATGGAAGTACAGTGCCTGGGACTCTGAAGGAGGGGTGTTAATGTTTCAGTTTTTAAAAAATGTATGTAAAGCCCCTTTGGAAGACAGGATGGAGTGAATGTGGGGAAAGTTTTTTTTTTTTTCGGGCCCCCTGCCTTGGGGGAAACGGCCGGGGGTGATAATAAAAAAAAAAAAAGTCAAAACTCCCCCTATTCCCCCCCTTTTTTTCCCCCACCCCCAAAAATGTAGTTTGATTTCCCGGCTGCTTGTTAAGTAGGGGCAGTCTAGCTCCCACTATCCCCCCCCCTCCCTTTCCCCCCCCAAAAGGGGACGCGTGGGGGGTCTGCAAAGTAAATCACTCGATCACAGCTCCCCAAACTACTGTAAATAAGCCTGCCTTTTATTCAGTGATTTTTTTTTTTTTTGGGGGAAACTTTATTTGGGCCCAAAAATAAACTTAGACTTTTTTGACTTGTCTAAGTTGACTGTTGAAAAATCCCACGTCTTTTAGGTATTTTTATTACATGGGGAAATGATTATTTAAGCAGTGGGTAACCTGTCTATCTTTTCGCTTGGATGACAAAAGGGCACCTGTCAATCAAAGAGAAGAACTGACGGAGGGACTAACGTCCTGGAAGTCCCATATTTGGGTTTTAAATACTTTTAGTAACTCCACACCTCCTAATTTCCACACTCCGAATTCTCTGCATAATATTTACACCACAGATTACCCTTAGACAGGACATCTCTACTGCCTCCAGCCACCTCCTTGCTGCAGCATTTGCAATCCAAGCTTCACACCCATATAAGAGTGTTGGTACCACTATACAGTGGACCCCCGCATAACGATTACCTCCAAATGCGACCAATTATGTAAGTGTATTTATGTAAGTGCGTTTGTACGTGTATGTTTGGGGGTCTGAAATGGACTAATCTACTTCACAATATTCCTTATGGGAATAAATTCGGTCAGTACTGGCACCTGAACATACTTATGGAGTGAAAAAATATCGTTAACCGGGGGTCCACTGTACTTTCGTACATTCCCTTCTTTGCCTCCAAGGATAACGTTTTTTTTTTGTCTCCACAGATACCTCAATGCACCACTCACCTTTTTTCCTTCATCAGTTCTATGATTAACCTCATCCTTCATAAACCCATCCACTGACAAGTCAACTCCCAAATATCTGCAAAACATTCACTTCTTCCATACTCCTTCTCTCCAATGTGATATCCAATTTTTCTTTGTCTAAACCATTTGATACCCTCACCACCTTACTCTTATCTATGTTCACTTTCAACTTTCTACATATGTATGTATGTATGTATACATATTTTTTTTTTAACGCGTCAGCTGTCTCCCACCGAAGCAGGATGATCCAAAAAAGAAAGAAACACTTTTACCATCATTCAGATTTATTTTTAACTATGCATTCATGTGTCTTACATGTTAAAATATTACTTTCTGCAGCAAGTTTCTGAGGGTGTTGTAGGAGACAGTAGTGGAGATCGGTCCGAGGAGGACGAGGAAGGCAGAACTGGGGAGGAGACGAAGACTTGCTCGAACTGCACTATCCCAGCATCTGTGCTCAATGAATCACCTAAGGGTCTACAGTGCCTCACCTGTTATAATCATTGGAAGTAAGCATCATTTAGACAAAGTCAAGCATTAGTATTATCGTAATGTTTTTTTAATTTAAGAAATGTGTAGAATTTGGATTTACGCTTCTGTTTCATAGTGAAAAGAAATCTACATATTTGTATAGTGATTTGATTCACCAAAATACTGTGGTAACCTTTGTATATTTGGCATTTATTTTCTATACAATTAATATTGAAAAAAAATTACAGTAATTGTCAAGTGAATAGACTGGGATTTTACAGAAAAATGGGCTGCTTGAGACCTACTGTGGGACCTATGAAGAGAGACAAACAACTAATAAAACATAAGCGGCGTCCACCTCGTGGCATGCACATCAACCATGAAGTAAGTGGCTACTGACCTACTTGTTCATATATATACTTGCTTTACACACTAAGGAGAAAATAGGAAACATTTTTTGGTAAACTTTGAAAACAGGGAGATTCTAATTGGGAGCAATGCCTACATTTTATAAAAAATAGTAATAGAGTAGTATGAATTTTTTTTTTAAGTTTAATTTATTTGGCTGGTTTTAACCCTTAAACGGTCCAAACAGATCGACGTTCAAATTCGTAGTGCTACAAAAGTATATCTACTTTTTTTTACATATTTTCAAATATAACAAAAAAAAAAATGTAGATAAAAGTTTTTTTTACACGTTTTCACATGTAAAACAAAAAAAAATCTACATTTTTTTACATACTTTCAGATGTTGAAAAAACGTATATATACGTTTGGACCATTTAAGGGTTAAACTAGCCCAGAGGTACATAAATTTGTAAAGTTTAAGTATAAATTTTTAGGGGCAGAGCATTGCTCAAACTCAGGGATTTACAGGTCTCCCTTAGCATTTGCATTTTCCACTTTCGCGGGCTTTGAACATTTGTGAATTCCCAGCCGCCCAATCATATTTAACCCTTTGAGGGTCGCCAGGCCATCTCAGAGATTTGTTCTCGGGGTCGCCAAAATTTAAAAAAAAAAAAAAAAATTTCTTTTGAAAAGATAGAGAATCTTTTCCCGATCATATTGACGCCAAAAGTATAAAATTTGATGGAAAACTTACGGAATTATGCTCTCACGGATTTAGCGGTCTCAACGATGTTTACGCATCAGCGATTTTGCCCACTTTGAGCCCTATTTTCGGCCAATTCCAGTGTACTAGTCGACAAAAATCATAACTATTTCGCTAGAACTCCGTTTTTTTATATCGAATGAGTACAAGAAACACCCATTTACTGATTTCAACTATCCAATAAGGTGGTCAGAATTTAGCAATTTTTCCAATTTCACACAAATTTCAAAAGATGCCAATTTCCAAATAGGGTCTAGAATAAACAAGAAAGACATTCCTGGCACTAAAATAACATTTCCTCTGTTCATTACTCACGTCCCCAGGCTCCTCTTACATTTCTTTTGCTTTCTACTTTGATTTTTTATTCTCGCAAAAATAATAAGATTTACTGTTACGCAGACTACCACATTAGTGTAGAAATGGTAAAAATAATATCAGCGCACTTGTGAAAGAATATTAGACTCACCAGTTGACGTGTATTTGACGCTTAGCATGATTTGTTTACTTTTGAACTTTGGTAAAAATCAAACATTTCTGCTGTTTTGAGTTCAATTTCAAGGTACTTTTCATTGTAAAACCAGTCAGAATCATCTCAATTTCTGTAATATGTCTTCCATTCTATACAATGAGACCAGGAAAACTAGAATACAAAAATCAATACCATACAAAAGTACAGTGCGAAGTCGCTGTTTTAAACCAAAAGCACGGTCAAAGCTTTTTTTTTTTCTTATTACGCACTGTGTGCTGCAGGATTTTTTTATACTGCCCACACTGACCACATAGACCCATTCTTTCATATATAGGCCTACCAGCTTTCTCTTGCTAGATTTGAGGGCGCTAGAATTTATGCGTACTAGTACGTCAAAAACCCTGGCGCGTAAGCCGTACTAGTACGGCCGAAACCCCGAAAGGGTTAAACTATGTCATTACATATGTTAGGAGTTGTGGCAGTGGGAGAGTTTGGAGATAGGACAAGATAGTCCTTCAAATTGACACTAATATCAACTCTATGGCTTATTTATTTATCAAAATTAATCTACTATGACATAATAAACAACATTAATAACATAGAAACATGACATATACTCTAGAATGAATAAAATACATCATTAAGTATGCCACGAGTGCTGTTGTGTTGGTGTTGTTGGGCGTACGAGGGCCACTGAGACATAAGCCTTTCATAGTGGTGGTGGAGGCGGTAGAGACTAGAGACGGCGGTGTTGTCAGTTGCCCTATATTACTCCAACAACATTGGAGGAATTAGGTTCGTGTTGTCTTTTTTCTATCGATTAATCGCTTAACTTACTTGCTACACTGTTAATGCTACACTTTATCGCTGGCTGGTGCTCTAGCCTTTATCAACTCATGCTGCTTTAGTATCATACATATCGTAGAATCACTGAAGAAGGCAATTCTCCCCTCTCTCTTCCTCCCCCACTTCGGTACTCTGCTATGAGTTCTTCTTGAATTCTATAGTCTTTCTCACCTTTACCAAAGGGCTGGCACTAGTACAATATTTTACGATGTTTTGATGTGTTTTATGATTGTTCATGGTTCAATAGGTTAAGGAAGCAGTATTATTAGGCTAAGTAAATGCTATTATTATATTTCCCTACAATATATTTGGGCACCAAACTTTTGTGTTTTTTCAATTTCGTGGGGTTTTCTTGATCCCCTAACCCTCACGAATGTGGAGGGAGACCTGTACTGTATGAAATGACCAAACATTGCAAAAAAAAATTTTGAAAATACTACTCTGGATGATATAGCAACTGATGGTTCGATAAAAATGTTTCAGTGTGTTTTATAAAATTACTTTTAGTTTTTTGTTATTGTGGGAGGAAGTAGTTATACATTTTATTTTTTATGCTCCTGCTCGTGAATATGATGGAACGTCCGCATATGTTACTCTTGTGTGTGACTTCGGCAGTTCTTCATGTGACATTGTATTTCATTCACATCAACCCATAGGTAATACACTGGTGTCAGTGCAGTCAGGAATATGGGTGGGGGGGGCTAAGAAGCTGAAGTGATCTACTGGATTTGTGACCCACGGTCAAGTCTGTGTTTCCAAAGCTGTTAGAACATAACGGGTAGTGAGTGTACACTTACTACTGACAAAAATCTCCTTAGATGCAAATATTTCCCTTTTTTTAAATTAATGGCTTTATTTTTACTTTATTATATTGACCAGTTATTTATGAAAGCACATCAGTTTAAGAAATTTCACATATACAGTGGTACCCCGAGTTTCGGCCATAAAATTTGTTCCATAAGCTGTTCGAGTGCCATTACAGAATGAATTTTTTTCCCATAAAGAATAATGTAAAATTAGATTAGTCCATTTCAGACCCCCAAAAATACACTTACAAAAGCACTTACAATAATACACTTACATAATTGATCGAGTTGGGAGGTGGCCGAAACTGGATACCACTATATAATGAATATATTTTATTTTTTTTAAATAATTTCTTTGATTTTTTTAGCATCTTATGATTTTTTAAGCTTCCTCCCTATTGAAATCCTGTCTGCACTGTTGACTATGTGCTGTGTTTAAAAAAACTGTATTACAAAATTATAAATCATCACTGACTTTTTTTTTTTAAATTGTAAAAATCTTGCCACAATAGCTCATCTGGAGATAAATATTGAGCACATCAATCTGTAGGCGGCATCACCAGAAAATCATTGAAAAAATTTTCCGAGATATTAAATTATGATTGATTTGATGTTATCATCTGTTCTTTGCCTAAGACAGAGCCAGCCACAAGACCTTGTTTTGGATTACACTTCAATTTCCACCCAAAGTGGCCCAAACTGCAGTAACAGTTGTTTAAAAATTTATATTGATCATATAACCTGAAGGGAAAATAGGGCTTGCAGGCAGGGGAAAACTATGTCATGTAAAACCTATGTCTAACTATTTCTTGTGTATTAACATTTTTTTTCATAATAACAGTCTGATCAAAGTACCAAAACTTACTTTCTTTTGCCAAAGTTTTCCACTTCCAAAATCATCCTTAATGATTCTTGTTATTGTTTCACAATAATTCTTCTCTGTAACTCTTACAGTCTGGTCTGTTTTATAATTTTTTTTTATAGTGAATCTCACATTCTACGTATATTATCTTTTATATTTTTACTAGAATTTAGAGTTGTTATAACGTAGCTTTAGTTTTGCCCCAAATACTCTTTTTTTTTTTTTTTTTTTTTTTTTCTCAACATGTCGGATGTTTCCCACCAAAGCAGGATGACCCAAAAAAAGAAAAACCCAGAAAGGATGAAAAAACTTTCATCTTCATTCAACACTTTCACCATCACTCATACATAACCACTGTTTTTTGCAGGGCGCTCAGATACAACAGTTTAGACGTCCTCCAGACTGCCAATATCCTGAAACCCCTTTTAAAGTGCAGGGATTTTACTTCCCATTTCCAGGACTCAAGTCTGGCTAACCCGTTTTTCTGAATTCCTTCACAAAATATTACCCTGCTCACACTCCAACACCTTGTGAGGTCACAAAAACCATTCGTTTTCCATTCACTCTTACTAACACGCACACACACACACACACATGCTTGCTGGGAAATCCAAGCCCCTCGCCCACAAAACCTCCTTTACACCCTTCCTCCAACCTTCTCAGGGATGACCCCTACCTACCCCACCTTCCTTCCCCAACAGATTTATACATTCTCCAAGTCATTCTACTTTGTTTCATTCTCTCTAAATGGCCAAACCACTTCAACAGCCCCTCTTCAGCCCTTTGACTAATACTTTGTGATTCCACACCACCTCCTAATTTCCATATTACAAATTCTCTGCATAATGTTTACATTACACATTGCCTTTAGACATGACATCTCCACTGCCTCTAGCCACCTCCTCGCTGCAGCATTTACAACCCGTGCTTCACACCCATATAAGAATGTTGGTACCACTACACTCTCGTACATTCCCTTCTTTACCTCCATAGATAACGTTTTTTTTTTTTTGTCTCCACAGATACCTCAACGCACCACTCGCCTTTTTGCCTTCTTCAATTCTATGGTTTACCTCATCCTTCATAAACCCATCCACTGACAAGTCAACTCCCAAATATCTGAAAACATTCACTTCTTCCATTCTCCCTCCCTCTAATGTGATATCCAATTTTTCTTTATCTAAATTGTTTGGTACCCTCATCACCTTACTCTTATCTATATTCACTTTCAACTTTAAACCTTTACACACCCTCCCAAACTCGTCCACTAGCCTTTGCAACTTTTTTTTA